AACTAAAATCATCTAATATACAGTAGCTTTGTGTGAATTTGTGATCTTGAGTTCTCCTTGTTTGAGCGTCATTGAAATAAAAACATCTGATCGAAAGGAGCTTCACTAAAGCAAAGCAAGTCCAGGCAGCTGAGAATGCTAAGGTAGCTAGCCACCTAGCTTTTGGAGCTAACTAGCTTTTATGTTATATGTTATTCCCACATTTATCATGATTTAAAATTAGCATTTTATAATAAGCATCTTAGCATTTTAACATTAGCATTTTAGCATCTTAACATTAGGAATTTAACATTTGCAGTTTAGGATTTTAGCTTAAGAATTTTAGCATCATTGCATTACTATTTTAATATTAACTTGTTATCATTTGCATCTTAAGATTTTAATATTATCAGGGACTTTTTTCAGCGGCAGGTGAACTCATATTTGGTTTCCACTAGCATGGTGCATGTGGGACTGAGTCACAATGAGCTACAGTGGTCCTGTGGCTGACCTGAGTCAGTCACTGGGTTTGAATCCTTTCATGTTCATGTTCCAGCTGTTCCTTTCCTTTTGTTAAATAGCTTTGTGGTCCAGTTGTTTGGACACTTATAGAGTTAGGTTCCCATAAAAGCCACTGAGACTTTTTCCACATTGTTTATTTTTGTACGGATTTTAAATTTGTTTATGCAAATAAATAAAGTAAATAAACACTGAAAATAGTTTAAACTCAAGTGTGAAGCTCAAATATGAGACTGACTCATCTGAATAATACAAGGAATGAAATCAAAATAAAAACAGTCAGAGTAAAGTTTAAATTTGAATTGTCTGTGGTCTTTATTTTCCGAAGCTGTCCATCATTTTGCGGTTGCTGTCAGCCTGCTGGGCGATCTGCTCCGCCCGGGCCATCTCCAGGACCTCCCTGAGCAGGTGGAACGTCAGATCGAGAGAGATGGGAGGCTCGTCAGATCTCTTCCCTTTCCCCCAAGCCTCCTCCTCGTTCCCCTGCTGCTGCTGTGCCCCAGCCTGCAGGAGGAGCCCAGTGAGCTGCAGCAGAGCCCGGTTCACCGCTGAGGAAGAGGGGAGGTCTGGAGAAGCAGCGGCAGAGGAAACTCCACCTTCACCCAGCCGCAGGGAGAACTCCTCCCCCAGGCGGAGGAGCAGTGGCCGGGGGAGGAGGAGGCGGTGACTGGGAGGAGCAACCGAGGGTCGACCGTCAGCAGAACGAGGAAGGAAGACGCCGAGCAGAACCACAACCCACAGAAACACATTCAGCTTCATGTCCACTCACTGCCACAACCTGAAGGACAAACAGGCAACATCAGCGGTGCCTTCAGACACAGTCTGAGGGATTATAAAACCCGGAGGCAGCCGACAGGTGTATATTTCTGCTAAACTGAGGAGGTGGTCTGATGTTTGTCAGTTCAGCTTCAGGTCCTCATCTACTGTATGTCTGACACAGGGACAGGAAAGCTCGCTTTTCCATAAAGACGAATGACATGTCTATGCATGGAAGATGTTTTGTGCCTTAAAGAGAATAAAGTGTAATTGAACACAAATATAACGTTATAGGTATCCCCGTTTAAATAGATGCATTTACAGGGTCAGAATACAATTTAATAAAATGTGATCAAATAATTTTTTGTTTTATTATCATAGCTTTTCCTGTAAATAAAATTATTCAGGTTGCAGTCTTGTCAGCACTCGACTGTAGTGATGTGTGTAGGTGTGTGTTGCCCTGAGCCTCTGGCCTCCTGTCATGGCTTTAAGCCAAACCAGAAAACACCCTGCTCCCTCCACAGGTGGAACAAACCACAGCAGCATTTAGAATCCAATCACCTGGTTACATTGTATCTAGACATGATGAATCTTCTCTACAGTCACTGTAGAATTTCACATGCTTTTAATTTGGTGTGTATTTACATAAGCAGCAGGTAATATCTTATTATTATCAGATTCAGAATCAGCTTTATTGGCCAGGTGTGACGGACACATGAGGAATTTGACTCTGGTACATCAGCTCTCAATGTGCAAACAGTAAACCAGCATAAGGCTGTGTAATATAACAAAATAGCAGTATTAACACCAACAAACAGTGCAAACAATGCAGAATAAGCAGTATAAACAGACAGTAAACAATGCAGGCAACAAAGGAATGTTCATTGAAATGAGATAAATAGGGATATTATGTCATTATACAGTAAGGAATATATATTTATATGTATTATTATTATCTGTTATCTCATATAAATATCTCTATTGCAATAGAAAACTATTATTATACATGTGACCATGAATTAACATGTAAGATAAACGTTTATTGACACCAGCAGGAAATGAACATGTTGCAGCAGCAAACAGAACAAATAAAATAAAATAAGTTGGCATTAGCAACAAATTATATGCAATATGTACATTACAAAACCTTTCTGCAAATATTTGTGCAGGATAGTGCAGTAGTTTAATTGTGGTGGCCCTGATATGAAACTATAAGCTATCAATAATAATAATTATCTCACACTATAACAGTGTATATGTTTATATTGTTACATTAATGTATTTATTTTTTTATTTCACTTACAGTGTGTTTGATTTTACTACAATAGTTACACATAAATGCAGACATATATTTCATAAAGTTAATATATATATTGGATAAATGTTGACTGTTTTCTGACACATTGCACATGTGCACACTCCACTAATGTACTGAACGCTGACTTCTTATTTGATCATTTCTCTACTTTGATCCTGATTCTACTGACTCCTCCACTTAATGCTGAGGATCAGTCAATCAATAAACCTATCACTGCCATTATTCCAGTTATCAATATAAACAATAACTGATGAAGAGGTTTTATATTTTATAAATGAAGATGCAGTCTGTGGGTCTCACCTGATCGTCCTGCGTCTGAGTCTCTTCAGTCAAATAGAAACACTCGAGCTGTTTCTACGTTATATATGTGAGTGTCAGTGAGGGAGGGGCTCTGCACGCGCTCAGACGCCTGAATGGGACTGACGATGATGATGATGATGATGAGTCACAAATTATGCAGCTGTTAGATGATGTTTATTTATTTATTTCATCAATGGGGCAAAGATCACCTTCCTCCTCCTCCTCCCAACCCTTATTCATTTTCTTAGAGCAAGCTGAAGAAAATGATCATCATCACCACCTTCACCATCATCATCATCATCATAACAAGAACACATTTCAATAAATACAGCCAATCAGAGGCAGAGAGTCTAAGCTCAGGCTTGGTTGTTAGAAAATCCAGTTTTTCTTTGACTTGTTCTCCAAAACTCAGTGAGGATCCGAACAGACAGCAGCTGACTTCCTGTTTGTTGGAGGTGGACGCTGAGCGGACGAGCTCGCTGATGATGAAGATGATGTGACCTTTCTCTGCCCGACTGTGGACTGAATCTGTGACCTTCATCTTCTGCAGGCAGAGAAAACAGTGTGACAGGACATTCGCCGGTTTCAGAGTCTGAAGATGGTTGTTTTTCAAAACCCTTCGGTAAATAAAGGCTCTGGCCTTTAGTGTGGGCCCAACGTGGTCCAGCTGGTTGTTGCACTGGGACCCCCACCCAGTCAAGGTCTTCATTAGGATCATTCCGGTGTGTTGGGGTTGAGCCATCACCACATCAAGGTTTGTGGCCTTCTTCATCTGATGGAAACAGGGTTTGGTTCATGGTCTTCTTCAATCCTGCATTTCATGATGCCTTCACATAGTCTTCACCAGGAGTTTGTGTTCTCTGTTCAGCCATCTGGCCAGCGGGATTTGACATGAGGCCTTCATTTGGGCCACCAGACTTGCAGGGTTTGGCTTGTGGCATTGATTGGGATCATGTGACCATCAGGATTCACTTCTGGCCTTCATCAGGATCAGTAAACAAATTCATTTTGACTCACCGGTGTCGTCCAGCAGACGCACATCAGCCTGTGGTCATCTAAGTCTTTTGACTTGTCCCACCAACACATCTGTGTCGTGGTGTGACTCTACAGTCTTTGTCTGGGTCGGCTGACTGACTTGTTTCTGCTTCCAGTCTAAATCAGGCTCAGCTGGGTAACAGGATCTGGCCTGTGGACTTCTTCAGGATCTTTGAGTTGACTCAGAATGTTTCATGGCTTCCTTCTGATCATCAGTGTGATCTGGCCCACACTACTCCGTCGTAAATCATGTGACCAGTGTCTTTTGGCAGAGGCCCTTTGTCAAGGTCATTTAATCAATGTGTTTCAGCCAATGGACTCCATCAGGGTCATGTGACTGACTTTTTTTTTGCCTGGGGGCCTTCATCATCATCATCGCCATGCAAAACAGTGTGTTTCAGCTTGTGGTTATCATCTGGGACATCTATCTGACACATTAGGGCATAGACACACTAAGCTGATGGTCAGCTGTCGGCCACCATTGGGCCATTGGCGAGCATCTGTCGGGGCTTGTCTTCCCTGTGCGTCCTGCACCGCTGGCACTAGGTGGTTTCTGTTAAATTGGCAGCAGTCAGGTCTAGTCTGTGAGAGAGTGCCCACTCTGATTAGCTGCTGAGCTTAGCGAATCAACACTCGAGAAGAGAATGGTTTGGGAAAGCCCCTTCAGCCCATTGCTGTACGTAGTCTCTATGATTTAGTATAGTTTCTCTGTTGTTGCCTCAACGACCTCCTTTCTTCTTCCACATCCAAAAGCCCAAGGGCAGAGAAGAGCAGCTTCTTATGAGACATATTCTTGATTAGAAGCAGTTATAAACAGTAAAGAGGTACTTTGTTTATAGCTTATACTTCTGCATTCTAGCTCTGCTTCTTTCCCTTTTTGAATGGCAAATACAGACACCGCCACCTGCTGGTAGGGGGAGTAATTTCTGTCACGCAGGAGCAGGGTGTACATGCCATTTGGCCGTTGGCTGTCGTCTGTTAGGTAGATTCAGGTGTCACTTTCTTGACCCTACTGGCCCAGACAAAGCCAACATGAGGCAGTCAGCCTTCGTTGCTGCTAGTTCTTTCACGTCGGCTTGGTGTGTTTCTGCCCTTAGAGTCATGTGACTGGTGGTTTCCAGACTTGTGTCTTCTCATCTCTTTTGGCCAAGGGTTAGGGTTTCAGCCATCATTGTGGTCTCCAGGCTTAGTGACATGTTTTAGCTTGTGGTCCCAGTTTCTGCAGAGGTTAAGTTCTATTATAAACCCATTAAAACCCTGTGAATCACAATAAGACATCCCTTATACAAGGCTCAACCCGTGAATCAAACCCTTAAAAAAATCCTAAAACTGTTCCTCAACTGAAGGAATTTGTTTGGATTTTCGAAAGAAAATCAAGAACCCAAAGTATTGGTTCAAACTCAGACTGAGAGTTCAGTAGTGATCGATGAGCGGCTGATCTGAAAGGTCTTCATCCATCCTGCAGCAGCTCCGTCTGTCTGTCACCCCTCAAAATCCATCAATAACCTAAGAGTCATGTGAGTGTGGAGTCAGCAGCTGACTGGCCGGGAACACGCTCAGGCAGAAAGTCAGAATACGTTCAGGTTGTAATGAGAGACATGATCCATAACTGAGGTCTGTCTGACCTTTAAGGTGACTGATGATGACAGCGTGACCACTGCCTGCTCTCATTGGCCAGGTGTCATCCATTTATATTCAGGTGTGTGTGATCAACAAAGAGGCGAGTCGTGAATACCCAACAAGTCATAACAAGCAGGCACTGTGTGTTGTGTAGTTCATTTCATAAACAAAGAGTCTGGCAAAAACTATGACAGAACGTTTTAGTGTTTGTAAATGAGTAAAAATGTAATGTAATGGTGCAGACAGATGAATGGACATGAAGTAAGGACCGTCTTAATGCGGAGTCTCACAGTCGCACACTGCAGCTCCCCATCAGTTAACAGGCAGCGATGTAGCTGCTCGACCTGTTGCACTGCCGTTAATAAGAAGCATCTCGCATTGTCATCTGCAGCTTTATGAACTGCAGCAGCTGTAAAGGCCAGACCCCCCCATCTGACTGGATGTATACAACACACTGGTCAGGGGCACTCTAAAATGCAGTGGGAGTAAAAAGGTCACCTTTAAAAACTCAGCATACACTGACCACGTGCCAACAGGGATTTTCCCAGTTTCCCTGCAGACATCACCTCTCACAATCAGCTACCAAACAGTTGAGGGGACCATTAAAGGGTTGAATATTTGAATTACACAAGCTTTAAAATATTCACACCATCAAACAGAAACAGGCAGAAGACTTCTCTGTTCATTAACTCCTGAGTGTGTTTTCGTCAGCAGAAAAAAACTTTGGTTCGTTAGCTTCATCTTCTCTTGTGGTGTTGACAAGGGTTCGAGCATTTCCCAGAGGATGCTGGGAGATGTGAGGTTTGACAGGTGAGTCGTCAGTAGGGAGTTTTCTTCTCTTTGACAATGAGGTAGCTGGATGTCCATGGAGAGTCAAGGGGGACTTAGGGGGGTCATGGGGAGTCCGAGGGTCTGGAGGTGAAGCTCTGGTGTGTAATGAGCGAGGGCAGCCATGGCTAATTACTGGACATCCTGTAAGTTTTACTTCTTACTTCTGTTTACTGAGTGACACAGAACAAAGGATTTCCCTAAAATTTTGGACTGTTCCTTTTAATGACAAAGTTAATCATGATGTCATTAACATGTTTTAGTGGGCTTTTAAGGGGATAATGAAGAGATTAACTGAATGTAATTTACTGTTAATGGATGGTGGTTTTTAAAGGTAAGGCTTGTTCAACCAACACAAACAAATATAGTAAAAATAAAACCTGAAGTGTCTCAGCAGCCTGAGGTTTGTTTAAAGGTCGATGTGTCTGGACGCTCCAGGTCTGTCAAGGCACAAAGAAAACACAACTGTCATGGTTACTGGAAAGCTGAAGATCAACAGGAAATCATCTGCCTCTGCTATGACCTCTGACCTTTCAGTCTTTATTCAGCTTCAACAGGAAAAACCAAACCAAACAAAATATCAGTCAGGAATCCTTCATTTAGAAAACCTGAACCAGAGGGCTTCTGGTTTAAGCTCTGGAATATTTTCACCTGCTATTTAATGAGATTTTAATTTAATTCTTATTCACTGCTTGGATATGTTAAAGATTTATTTGGACAAGAGAAAGAAAACATTAATAAACAGGAACACGTTAAGGGTTTTAAATGTGTTTTCTAAAGACTAAGGGAACCAAAGGGGGAAAGGCATCATTAAATGGACAAAATAACATTACAGGTCATTTAAATCTTTCCAAAAGGGAGCAAATTCACCACAAATAGATAAGTCAATTAATTATAATATAGTAATGATATTGTTATTGTTTTATAAGTTATTTAACATTAAATAATACTAACATTTTAATGAAACCAGATTTTCAATTAGTTAATAAAAACCCTAATGGACAAGAATATACTGTACTGCAGCGCTGAAGCGGAGCAGGAGGGGTTGTTCTGTTATGGGGCGCTGGGCCAGGTCAGCCAGCAGGGGGCACCATAACACAGGGTTCTGGTGGCAGAAAAGGGCCGTGGCATGTAGGGAA